CCTTAATCCGGACTTATAGCCCATTTTAAGTTATATTTTACATTTTTACGCATGTACACAATGGACTTACCGATTTTTTCTTATTGAAAATCTTGCATGTTCTTCAGAAGTTCAGTCTTTGGATAATTTCTTGATTGTGCTGTGACGACTGACGGCTATTACGATTTACGATTTCTAAAGTTACTGTTACCTATCGCAGTACAATTCACGAATTACAAACCAACCAATTATAAACAAACGGTAAATTAAAAATCAACAACCTTAACGACTTTGTGGCCGTCGATGACCCGACAACGCGTTACTCGACGGCGACGATACCTACTGAAAATATATTAAACAAGAAATTATCGCCAGACGCGTTGAATAGACAATGGTATTGCAACGATAAAATCCCCACTTACTTTTGCTATTACGCATGCGCCTCAACGCTCTAGTTCAGTGAACCCAACCTATTTTACTTGACAGCGCTTTGATCTTTTAATAAATTATCAAGGCACACACAAAGATATAAATACATATTATCTTTCGACGATACAAACAGGTAAATGATAATTAATACCTTATCATTCCGGGTAAAACCAAAACATAAATAATCATCAGCATATTAACGTATAATTCTTAAACTTAATAGGCCGCATGCGTTGCCTCCTTCGTACAAACGCGTAACATACCAAATTTATGCTCAGCAGTTCACGTTTTATGCAGTTAGCTTAAAAATTATAGTGGATCGACCTATAATGAAACTTGATGGTAAGAACATTATCTGTATTTTGTTGGATGTTTTTTACGATGATTCAGTTTTTAATTGAGTTATGCGTGTGTAATAAATATAAATTGAAAATGCTCATACCTCACTTAAAAAATCAATTATCGTAAATTATCGTTCTAACCATCAAGTTTAAATAGTTTTATAATAGGTCGATTCCCTCTAATTTTTAAGCCAAGGGCATAAAATGTGAACTGCTGAGAGTAAATTTGGTATGTTACGAGTTTTTAAGACAGATACAACACACGCGGGTGTGTCGTCCTCTTAAACTCTTATCATTTACACATGCTTAACTAAATAAGACAACAATTAGAATGAAGAATTTCACGTCCCACGTTTGTTCAACGGAACTACAGTGGGAAATCCCTGGTCTAGAGGAAAAATCGTAAAACATCAAATTTCTCACAACATTTTTCATAAATTAGTTTATAAACATGTTTCAAAAAAAAATGTCATTCGTATAATATAATAATATTATATATTAACATTATTATGAAATTTAAATATATTGGTACTAGACATTTTTCCTCTTCAAAGAAAATTGACGAATCATCTAGTAACAATTATTTTTTGTATAAAAATATTATTTTAGGTACTCCTATTATAATATGAGACAAAGTGTAGTTAATGCAGTTTAATAGTGGTTAAACGTTAAGCTAGTATTCCTAAAATCACAATAAAACAACTAAAATTATTATTCTTCGTTTAAATAACTAATTTTATCTCAATTTGAACTTAAAATATCTATAAAAAAAACTGTGTCTTATAAATTTTAGATTTTTAGTTATATTGTATGAACTACTTATGAGAAACCTGGTATTCAACTTTCAATAATTTTAACTCAATGAAAAATGTTAATTGATATTTATAGAAAAGAAAAACTAAAAATTGAAAATTGAAAATATCTATAAATTGCTTAAGACGAGTTAAAAATTTCTGATTTTATTTAAAAAGATATTTTAGTGGCCTACATTAAGAAATATGCATATTTATAAGTTCAGTCATTTAATACATAACAATCATAAAAAAGATGTATACAAAAATTTAAAATGTACATTTTTATGATATATTATCTAATTTTTCAACATTGTTCACAGAAAATTTGATCCTTCCAAACAACTATTTACAACACGGAACAATTTTACAAGTTGAAAAATATAGCCTGAATCGGATTGTAAGTAAATTATATTTATATATTTATATCATGTATTATACAATTTTTGGCTGATTTTATTTTTTTTTTTAGGTTTGCTATTGCATTATCCGGTGCCAATTAACCATCGACACTTTAATTTATTCAAATTTTCAAGACCCAAGGTATACATTTTATAATTGGTTTTATGTTTATATAATGATCATTTGTTAGGTTACATCATGATTATGATTGGTACAATCATTTAGATTTTAGACAAAAGGACATTTGGCTGATAAAAATAATGCATAAAAAGTTTGAAATAATAATATGGGCTCTAGAACAATGAATAATTTTAATAGTTCATGTACAACTAATATAAATATAATGGTTAATACAAAATTAAAATATATATTCCAGATCTTTCTGAGTATTAATAAATTGAGAACATTATTGCAAAATATTATATTTAGCTATTTCAAATGAATAAAAATACATGGGTTGATATTACCTACCTTCAAATCGAGGTAAACAATTCATATAAAAAAATTGCAATAGGCATGTTGTGTGTTAATATTGTTGAAGTGTGGATTTTTCAATGGATTTGTAATTGTGTACACTATATATGAGTATAAATACAAGTTAATTAAAAAAAAGGTGGGCAAGTGGGTGTCGCTCTGCTGTACAGTAGGTTACAAGTGGGTCACTGTATAATGGATGGTATTAAATTTGAATTCAATGATATAATATCATTGTATAAGAAAAACGATTCTGAGCGGTGACGGTATGTCAGTCTATGTATAAGACATATTATATACATATCTATTTTATTAAACAAAAAATTGACCTATAATAGGTACCTATAATAAATTCCAAATTAATCATATCACAATATCCATTAGGTACTTATAACGCGTTATACATCAACAAAAACCGTGATACTATCATAGATATATAATAGTACACTTTAGAAGTTTCAAGTACCCACGAATAATATTATTCAATCACAACAAAATAACTAAAATAGTTATTCTAGGTTTTTTAATATGTAATTTCGTCCAAATTTGAATTTAAAATGTCTGTAAAAAATAAGTGTGTTCATATATTTTTTAGATTTTTTGGTTACAGTATGAACTATTTACGAGAACCTTTGTGTTGAATTTGCAATCCTTAGCTATAAAAACTGAACATTTTATAATTTATTAATTACAATGATTGATAATTTTCGAGATTTTGATAAATTTTGTCAAAATTTGATCTTTAAATGCTTATAAAAAAAAAACTGTGCCTATGTATTTTTAATATTTTTCAACTGCTATTGTAACAATATATCAGGAGCCTTGTATTAAATTTTTACACTTTTTGGCCCAACAGATAAAACTTTATTGATATTTATAGAAAAAAAAACTAAAAAAAATTGAAAGATGTAAATGTCCATAAACATCTCAAAAAGAGTCAAAATATTTTCAAAATTGTATGGTGTATAGAAAATGCTAATTTAAACATTGAGTGAAATTTTCATGTATCTACAGTTGTTCGTTTTTGAATTGCAACAAAATAAGGAAATCGCTACATGAGTAATCGAGTGAATATCCAATGTTGTAAAAATTTGAATTTCAAACGCTCATAAAAATTTAACTTGACTGTCCGGTAGAGATTTTTTTTTGATAAAGGTAGATAATCTTATAAGGAATCTTGTGTTTCATTTTCAAATCTTAGATTAAAAAAGAAAAATTTTTACGAATTCTTAACTCAAAATAATTTGCTAATTTTCGTGATTTTTCCATATTTTGTAAATTTTTGAACTTTAAATGCTTATAAAAAAAAATTGTGACTAAGGATTTTTAATATTTTTCATCTGCCTTTAAAACAACATATTAGGAGCCTTCTATTAAATTTTCAAACTTTCGCAACCAACAAATAAAATTTTATTGATATTTCTAGAAAAAAAACTAAAAAAAATGAAAAATGAAAATGTCCCTTAACAGTTCAAAATAAATCAAAATATTTTGAAAATGTTATCGTGTATAGAAAATGCAAATATAAACAACTAGTGAAAATTTCATGTATCTACGGTCATTTGTTTTAAAGTTACACCAAAAACCAAATTCGATTTTTTGGAAAATCGATTTTGCGTAAAAATTCCCGTTTTTCCTTAATTTTTATGTTGTTTTTCCCGGCGCTTGTGAAAACTACTGGAAAATGTTTACATTTAAACCCCCCAAGTACCAACTAGATTCACTTTCCTATCAGAAAAGGTACTATTGAAGAAAATCGAAGCACTTTTACTGTCCCAAAACGTGATGACAGACACAAAATATAAAAATATAAAAATATAAAAACACACATCATTGTAAAACCAATACATTTATCGCTCCGCTCAGAATCTAAAATCTAGGAAGTAGCATTGATAAGTTTAAAAAATCAATTGAATTGTTGAAACCTATTTTTATTTATTGATTATTATATATTAGAATTTGTTAATTTCTCTTATTAAAATATTTTTAACAATGTTTAACAAAAAATATTATTGGTTGACATCTATAATGTTTTTTTAAAACGTGAAATATATTGACAATAAATAAATTAATAAACATTTCTTTTGCCTATAAATAGCTGAAGAAGTGTCCAAATATTTTGAAAATGTAAAATTGACATGCAAAGATTTCGATAAAAATTAAAGTATCTACAATTATAAGTTTTTGTGTTATACCAAAATTTGGTTTTGCATAAAAATCCGTTTTACTTAATAACCTTTGCCTGATTAAAATATCTTGTTGAGTTAATATAATTTATATTAGCTAGAGCATTAAACACGTAATTTAAAAATATTATGTTACATGAATCTATTATAAAAAGTTACAACCTACGTTGAAACCAGTTATATTTTAATGTCATGTCACTTGAAAATTATGCAATCTTGTTATAAGTTAGAAATGTAAGATATAACCAAGTAACTAACTTTAAAATGTGTAACTTTTGCAGGGGTCTGTTTTGTATTCCGTAAGAACAAACTAAAAACTATTAATTTTAACAAGTATAAAACAAGTAAAATTAAATTGTGTGTCTAATAATTATATTTTATGATTTCAGTTGACAAGTATGGCGCCGCAAAGTGAATGGTTGTTAAATGATAAGGCTATTAACGATTATTTTTTGCTGCTACAGCAAGAATATCCGAGTGTACATGCCCTTCCTACCTTTTTTTATCAGCGGTATACAAGAACTAAAGATTCAAAAGAGAATTACGATGCCATAAAGCGTTGGACAAAAAAAGTAAACATTTTCTCCAAAAGTAAAGTCTTTTTTCCTATCAACATTGTAGAAGGCGATTTTTCTCACTGGGTATTAGTGGTGGCAGACATGGTGAACAAAGAACTCGTTTATTACGACAGCCTTAAGAAATGTTACTTTTATGAATGTCATCTTAAGATAATGGAATACTTAGTGTTCGAACATAATGAAAAACTGAGTAAATCCTTCCCGTTAGATGACTGGAAGCAGTTTAAAGGTAGTAACCCCGTCCAGAATAATAGTATTGACTGCGGGGTGTTCGTTTGCACTATTGCCGAGTATTTATCTAGAGATGCAGCGTTCAACTTCACTCAGCAGAATATGCTAGCATTTAGAAAATTGATAGCTTATGAACTAACGACCCATAAACTCGTTAAAATAGATGTGCCCAGTAATTCTATTAATGGGGAAATACATCGTATAACTTGTCTTCATTTAACTCAAAAATACCCTAATGTAACTTTTAAATAGTACCTATTATTTGTAAATAATAAAATATTAGCGTTAAGTATTTAGATTTAATTATACCAGTGTAAAAAGTTTTAGATATAAAATACATGAGTTATTGACTGATTGTATTAATATTTGTTAATTATTCTCTTTATATGTTAAGTTAATATTATAAGTACTGATTAGTTTTATTAATTTTTAAATGTTTATATTGTGTACTACTTTTTATGGAAAATATGTTATATAAGGAAATAATAATATTTTTGAAAACATAAGAATGTCAAATTTCAAATCCTTATATGTTTATTTAAAATGTCATTCTTGAAATATTATTTTAATTATATCTATTACTATAAGTTCAACATGGAAATGTATTTATGTTATTTACTCCTTCATAGAGAGCTAACTGCCTAACATATACCATCTAAATAATCTGAAAATATGTTGATGTTCATTTGAGCTTTTTGGAAAATCATTTAGACCAGAGAAATATGATGCTAATTGGTATTTTATATATTTTTTTTTTGCCTGGTAAATATGTATTTGATTATCCTTCCCTCCTGTATGTAGATATTGCAGATTAAGGCTTGGATGTCAGCACACCTTTTGTTGTCTCTCTGACCCACGCACAACATAGAATATTATATGTTGAATATTGTAAATTTCCTCTTGTAAAATTTAAAGTTAAGATTATTGTCTAAGCCAAACTTTTTATTATATTTTAATTTTAAAGTGAGTTATGAGTGTTTCAAAATTTTAAATTGTTTGTATATCTTGAAATACTAATAACTCGCTTACATCCATTTAAATAAGAATTTAAAAATGAAAATTGTATAGTTTAAACTCAAATGGTACTTAACAATTTGTAGTTTATTTTGAAAAGAAAATAGCATTTCATCTACTTATCATTTAACAGTTAATGGCACACAATTTTTTTATAATAATTTTTAAAACATCAATAATATACCTGAACAAAGCAATGAAAAATTCTTATTTAAATACTTTAAAATATTATTTAACATATAAAATGTATATTCAAGCAGGCGCTAATAACAATACATTTATAAATAAATAATTGTGAAAAAAATGTTTTTTACATCATGATATATTTTTTTTTGGAATTTAAAAAGTTGTTTGAATATATAACTTTTTCTATTTATGTGTATTTTGTTTTTGTATTACTATTTGTGGTTATTATTTTGTTGTATTTATTTACTTGAAAAAGTTTGAGAATTTCAATAATTTTCAAAATATATGGATGTATTATTGATAACAATTTTGTGTATGATGGGTGTAATAATTAACACTTAGGAACACTAGGAATTAATGTATGTCATTTTTTACTTTATACTCATGTAGGTACTTACTATTCACCTCCATTTTATTGCCGTATGGGTGATGGGCCATAATAATTAATAATTATTATTTAATGATTGGAATAAGAAGTAATGAGTCGTATAATATATTTTGGTGTGGTTATCAACTCTTACAGTATGATCATAATTTAACTCTAAATAACTCAGTTGGATGACTTAGAAACCAATTTGTGGTTTTTTTTTTTTAATGCATAAAGGACTAAATAATATTATAATAATTTTTGAATTGGAATTAATTTAATTTGATTATAACATAATTATTTTATTTATTTTTTTTTTAAATAATGATTATTGCATACATAAAGTTTTTTGTATCTCAATAATTTACCAATTTTTAGCTCGTGTTAATGTTTCGGCAAATCATAAATACTTCTTATGCACAAATCAAGGCTATTCAACTCACTCTCAACCCTTCAATTTCTAAGACAGGAAAAAACCTTATATATCAATTGTCAGTTGTCCCTTGATTGTTAAGAGCTTTCGTTACCTACAATTATTTAAAACAATTTTGTCTTGCTGGGTTCATATATTGTTAAAAATTTGAATTTTTTAAAAAAACTAATAATGTTAATATAACACCGACTGATTTTAAAGAATTTAACATTCTATGCAATTTATTGTCATATTATAGTTTTGAGTGCGGGTAGTGTGAATCATGACAAGCTAGATTTTTCATGGTCTAAATGTGTTCGTAGTAAATGATTATTATTATTTATTTAAGATAGTCCTTGTGGTACTATCACAAGTGATAGTGAAGTTCAAAATATTTGTTGGCCTTATTAAACGATAATAATAATAATAATATGTGGCGTGTAATCTGATTTATTATGATATCTTGCGCATGATATGTATCATTTAGGTAACTAGGTTAATGCAATATTGCTCTTTGTGCACCTGGAGTACCTACCTAAATTTATAAACGAGTATATTTTGAAGTAAAAAAATAATACACAACAGGGATGGGCAACTGGCGGCCCGCGTTCCATTTTTCACTGGCCTGTGCTACCTTTCAATTTAGTTTAAAAATATATAAAATGTTCAGATTTTTCTGAGAACACATAAATGTAATTAGAATAATGATGAGAAATTACTTTTTGTGCATTACAGAATCTGAAACATTATTAAAAAAAACCTTAAATTATTAGGTGGTTTTACAATGGTGTTTATTATTTTTTTTTTTTTATCGTGTATATAAAATTTCTACCAGGAGTTCTGATTTCAACATAATAGTACCTTATCTTTTAGCAAATTGGATCAAGATGGTACTTTAGAGAGGTTATTTTTCGATTTTCTCAATAGTTATTTAATGTCACAGAAAAAACTACCGACAAATTACAAAGAAACCACTTAAAATGGGATTTTAATTTCAAACGTTTTGTTTATAACCGTAGCAACGAATATAAAATAATAATATAAAAATATTAATTCATCTTAAAGGCTATAATTAATAATAAAAATATAAAAAATCTAGACTGATAAATCGTCTCCACTTAGAACCGTTTTTCTTATGCAATGATATTGTATCATTGAATTCAAGTTTAATACAATTCATTATATATTGACCCACTTGTAACCTACTGTACAGCAGAGCGACATCCACTTACCTATTTTTTCTTTATTTTTTTTTATTTATTATATCATGAAAGTTAAATTAATATTAAAATATTATATTTTTTTATCCGTTGCTATGGTGTTAAACAAAACGTTGGAAATTAAATCCAATTTTTAGCGGTTTTTCGTAATTTGTCGGTAGTTTTCCAAGTGGCATTAAAAAAATATTAAGAAAATCAAAAAAATAACCTCTCAAAAGTACCATCTTCACCCAATTTGCTAAAAGATTGTATGTTGATATCGAAGTCTGGTAGAAATTTTGTATACAGGATAAGAAAAAATAAACACAATGTAAAACCATTAGCTTCCTCGCTCCCCTCAGAATCTAAAAAAATTTAACAAAAATCGAAAATATCTCGTGGCTTTAAAAAGCGTGAATTTCCAGTGAACTTTTCTTTTTACTATAAAAATACTTATGTGAAACCTTCTATGAACATTTTTATCTTACTTATGAAACGAAAAATGTTTATGAATTTTTAACTGAGAAATAATGTACGACATTTTACGAATTTCTTATGGATAAAAATAGCTCAAAAAGGGTTAAAAATGTTGGAAAATATTAACATGTATCGTAATGGATATTTTAACATTTACTGAAAATTTCAAAGGTCTACGATTATTATTTTTGAATATTACAACAAATATAAACAATTAGTAAATGAAAATTCGTTAACATAATGATGAATATCCATTATCGTAATAATTTTAAATTTAAACGCTCATAAAAGGTTAATGTTACTTTCCGGTAACCTAAATACATCCTGTATGTAACTAGTTTATATTTCAAAAATGTAATGTCTTCTTATCTTTTAGTGTTTTAAAATTTGAATGAAAAAATAAGTAAATAATAAACAGTATTGTAAAACCACTAGCATCCTTGCTAAGCTTAGAATCTAAAATAGGTAAATATTATAAATAAATAAGTTAAAAGACTATGAAACAAATAATCTAATAATATTATATAAGCCATGAGATGAATTGAGGCGTTACGTGGCAAAGTCAGCAATCTCCACTTTTTTTGAAATAAATGTTTTGATCATATTCATATAATACGTTTTACTCTGCGTCGATTGGTGAAGTTGATTTTTATCACAGATAATCGCCCATCGAGATAAAACGTTTTAATACTAGCTGATCGCAGCAAAGAGAGCAATCTCCAATCATAATACCATATAATACATGTTCTACGTTTCTGTGGCAAATAAGGCAATCTCCATGCGTTTCTGTGACAAAAGCGGCAATCTCCGTGGGTTCTTCTTGGGTTCCGCGGCAAATTTGACAAAGTCCATTTTCCCTCCTTTATTATTTAATGTTATTGACATTTAACAAAATTATGAATACAGGGAATAACACCAAACTCCACTATCAACCAACGAAAATAAAATATCATGGAAAAATACAAGAAATAAAGGTAAAACAGTTTTTTGACATTTACCAAAAATCACTGCGTTTGGAGATTGCTGACTTTGCCACATGACGCCTCAATTAAAACTTTAAGGTGCTCTGCTGTACAGTAGGTTACTAGTGGAACACTGTATAATGGATGGTATTTTTGATAAAGGTATACAAACTTATGAATAATCTTGTATTACATTTTCAAATCTTAGATTTAAAAAGAAAAATTTTTATGAATTTCTAACTAAATATAATTTTAAGATTTCGCTGGTTTTCCGTATTTAGTCAATATTTGAACCTTATATGCAGTTAGTGTTTGAAGTATGTGAAATATTTCATTTTGAAATATTTCACTAAGTTGTGAAATATTTCACAAAAACGTGAAACATTGAAATTTTTTTTAACACAAATAAAAACACAATTTATTTATTTTTTTTTAACACAATGTTCAGTGTTCTAAATTCTAATGTCAGAATTCAGTAAGTATAAAATATACATGTATAATATTGTATAACTACTTATATCATTTAAACATTAAAATATTTAAAAATTTTTAATACCAATTTAAATGTATAATACCAAAGATTAGGTATACATACAGGTACCATATAGTGATGAAGGTAATTTATGACAATTATA